CCTTCTTAATATAACCTTAATTGCTTTGCCCTCCCTGCTACCTGCTATTGTTTCACAAAAACCTAAATGCAGGCAAGACTCAAATGTGCATGCTAATCAGTGTCTTGATAAGGAATGCAAACACAACTACCACAAAGACTGATGGATGGCACCCAAACTTAATATTAACTGTCTACCTATTTATTGTCTCAATCTCATCTTTAAATATACGTAATTCCATCAATTCAGCTGTGCATATTCAAGAGAAATAAGCCACAACATCAAAACAAAAAGGTCTTGAGAGAACAAAATTTTGACTTGTCAATTATATTCAACTACAAAGACTTATGACATTCAAGCCCCCTGTTTTGAAGCTTCAGGAACAGTTCACAGAAGTCTACTGCAATCTCCACATCAATGGGTTTCATGGCTAAAATCACTTGATAGATTTTACAGTGGTTATCTTCAAGGACAATGGGTAAGACTTTTTTCTTCCCCTACCCTAAACAGGTTTAATTCCTCATGCTTCCTATCTGTCTCTGTGTCCACTTGACTATTTCCTCTATCTTAGATTTCTAATATATGCATGATATACATAAATTGCCTGTGTGTGTTCAAGAAGCATTTGGACAATGTTCTGAGACATATGGTTTAATTTTTAGGCTGCCCTATGTTAGAGTCAGAAGTGGGACTCGATCCTTGTGGGTCCCTTCCAACTCAAGGGGTTTCGATGATTTATGTGGGAAGATACACACACAGTATTGTGTAGCATTATTAGAAGAGTTCAAATTTCAAACTATCTCATTATTATTGAATTGATAACTTCTGACAATTAAGTTTTTTCTCATTTGGAATTATGTTCAGGATAATTATGAAATTAATAAATGAAATAATAACCAGTGTTTCAAAATGTCAAGTACTTCATCTTGCATAGAACTGACAGGAAAGGCAGACTAACCATTTACAACTTTTTCCTCACACTTCTAACTGTGTGAATTTGTTCTTATACTTTTTCTATGTATTAAAATCAATGACTACCAACAACTCAGTAAACTCAAGAAATAAAACTATATATTTCTATTTTCCCCATTATTAATATGCATGCATCTCATTTTATAAGCGTCTGTCTCAAAACACACTGTTAATCTGAGACCTACCTTACTCTATGATGCAATACTATACCTATTATTTTAGAACACACCACCAGGCAGTAGGGTAGCAAAGATGATAGCGTATTAGCTATCAAATTACAGATAATTTCCTGCTACCCTGAAGTAACAAAAATAAAGGCACCCACGCACGTTGCTATCAATGGATTTTTCCCTTTGGCATTATCTGCAGAATAAAGAATAGCCGCTGTCCTGTATTCTTAGGATAGCTTGCACACAGTTTAGGGTAAGACTGCTTTCAGCAATAATCATGCTGTCCATGAATAAGAAGTCACTGAACTTTTCTCCTGAAGCACAGTTACACAGTTATTACACAGTAAATCCATCCCACGCCAGAGAACAGCAACAAGCCTAAATTGTCCCTTACAATGAGAACATGTAACATCTGCTACAGTTTGCAAAAATCATACGGTGCGGGGAGAAAAAAAAATGCTAGTTTGGGAATCAGTCAATCAAAAAGTTCGTTTAAATATGGGTTGGGGACAAATGTATGCCTGATGAATATGACACATTTCAAGTATATGCATAATAAAATTATGAAGTCAATCATGTGTTATTGTGTCATTCCACTGGAAACTGCAGAATGAGTTTAATAAATACTACTTCCTCTGAGAAATAGGCTACCAAATGCCATAAAAAAATTTTAAAATGAGATCTTAAAAAAAAAATTTAGGTAGTGCCTGTGTTCCTCCATTTAAATCTGGCACACATCACAAAACAGCCCTACCTGGAGCTGTGAGTTATGAATACAGCACAACCCTGATTCTCGACTAACCAAAAGGTAGCTTCAGAATATTACATTTAACATGTCACACGAGCATTTCAAATTCACACGAATACTAATGCCTACCTAAAGCAGAAGCAGCAGCAGTTTAAAAGATACCGTTTTCTTCATACAAGCTTCCAAACCACAAATACACTTGGTGAAATCAACTAAAATTGGATTTAGAAAGCCTAGGAAATAGTATACTAACTTTATATGAAGTTATAAAAGTTTTTAGATCTGCTTGTTTTCATATAAATTAAGTTGAAAAGGGATGATTAAATAGAGCAGGCAAATGCACAGAATAAATGAATGTGGTTTGTTGTTTTGTTTTTTTTAAATGACTGGTCCAGTATTATCTGCTTTAGGAATTTATAGTCTTGCAAAAAAATTGTGATCAAAGACTTTAGGAAACATGCAACTTCGACAGCAGTTGAGGGTCTCTGCTAGAAGACAGAACATGAGATTTCACCTGCACTAGGTTTCTTTTGTTACTACATCTGAAACAGCTGAGTTTATGACATTTTCTAAAACACCCTAATACAGACTAACAAAAGAACTAACAAAAAGGAGCTTCGGGTATACTACAACTAATCTCTCCGTACTGCTAAATGGCTATTATGATACGCACCACCCTTCTAGCAGGTCAGCTAGAGTCTGTTACAAAGCGCTGTAATAAAGTCCCATCAACATGATTTCTCTGTACCTGTACACCACTTTCCTTGCCCAACCCCACCAGACAGCTGTATCTGTAAATCAAATGAGGAAACTAGGAAAATTCTATAATTATATACCTGCTACTGATAGATTAAAAGCAAGCATAAAGAACAGGAATTATTCTTTCAAAAAGAATATAAAAAGAATTCGTTGAGACCTGTACACTAGATACGGATTTGAAAAGACAGAATAATCAGTAAACTGGAAACTATTAAGTCAGCACACAAAAAAAGAGGTATGAGTGCATCTCCTGACTTTCAAATTATTTGTACATCTGAAGCAGTTAGATCACTAAGGAAAACCCCAGGCACTAAATACCATACAAATAATACAAATTCATAGCCCAGCAAACAAAACCAGAACTATCTGAGACTTCAGCTGATTTCTGACAACAGGAAAAGAAAAAGGAGTAATCTGTGTTTGTGCAAATGCTTCTTTTTTCAAGATACCAAAGCTGACATGTAGATCAGCTGAGAAGTGTTTGCACTACAGCAACTGCTGCTATCTAATTGTCAGTCACGCAACTAACAATGTTTTCTGTAACAAGAGATTAAGACCAACTCAAAGGAACTTTCCACAGAGACTACAGCAGATGTTTATTTTCTGTTTTTAGCACTGTTTCTGCCAAAAATATTGAGATTAATTGGTTCTAGCAGTTGCGTACAAAAAAGGATATACTTAAATATCAACTCTGTTGCCTTAAAACATATGGGGGAAGTACATGGCACGGGCTGTGCATCAACCAACACCACACAACTGGTTCTTCAGGAGTTGTACCAAGGATCTATGAGTCTCCTACAAACACAAAGAGGTCCACTTTCAAACTGCCAAAGGCAATTAAAGTAATGCAATTTAAAGAATACTTTCACAAACCTAGAATCAACCTGTAATACAAACAGATCTTTTTCAACACTAAAGCATTTTTCTGGTCCCCCTAGTCCAGAAGATAAGTCTTGTTACTGGCCCCTTGAACCAGCAATTTTTAGAACTGAGTGGTAAAGTCAAAATTTGATGTCTTGTAATGTTCCTGGAAGTTCTATGTAGTTTAGGGAAAGTGAGCAACAATTTGCAGTGCTATGGATGCTGCATTTTTGACTCCATGTCAATTTTTTTTTTTTTTTTTTTTTTTTTTTTTTTTTTTTTTTTTTTTTTTTTTTTTTTTTTTTTTTTTTTTTTTTTTTTTTTTTTTTTTTTTTTTTTTTTTAAAAAAACTTCAGTGTAACCATTTTAGCCTAAAAACTTTGCCACTGCAGTATAAAGAGTTTTGAACTACTTGCATTTGTAGTCTGGACCAAGTGTTTATACTATGAATCAGCCTAAGGACCCTACAGCAGTACTGTAGCTTCAACAAGCCTTCGAAGAGGACAAAGTACAGGGAAGTAACAGCCAAAATTAGCTCTTGTACTAGAGCATCAAACACACAGTGACTTTTTCTAGGTCACTTATAGTATAGCTAGTACTTCTCAAAACCCATGAAAAGAAAATAACACTGGCAACATCTCAAGAAGTAGTTTTCCCCATCTCAAGGCTACAAAGAACTTACAGAGACTTTCTACCTGCAGTTCATTATACACTTAATACAATCTTTTTCCCTATTAGGAAAAGACAAGGCCCTGTTTGGGCCAAGCTAAATCGGAAGCATGGAAGGACTTCAAACTCCAGAAGTGAATTTTTAATCAAGACAATTATTGTTACAATTAGCTCCTTAGTTGTAACATTTACTGCAAGAGCCTATCAATCCATTCAGAGCAGCCTGAACTGGCCTGACTGCACATTTATTTTCCTCCAACATCACAACCCTCACAATCAGGATGAATCCTCTTACACACACTGCAAGCATCCATTCAGTGAAAGATTAGCATAATATTAAGGCCATCTGAAGTACAGAAATGAACAGCACTGAATGTTTTATTGTGCAGCCATTTGCTTATGCGCAAGAGGGAACAACCCAGCCAAGACATCTGGCACAAATTACCATCATTACAATTTTTTGCACAATATTAAGAACTCTGGTCAGCACCTGCATGTCAACGTGGAAGTTGCAATGCGCTTCCAGGAGCTACTCTTAAGGAAACCCACAGTCTGGCAAGACTGAAGAACCAATCTGCTTTGGCACAAAATTAAGCGGGCACAGAATACTCCACCTTCCTTATAAAGCTCAATATTACAAGGCTAAACATCCAGATACTTTTTTTTAAAAAATGGAAAGGGCCTACTTAAAACAATATTCCTCCCTCTGTTCATAAACCTAGTATGACAGTCAAGAGATACTACTCTACCACTTGTAGCTGGCTATTCCCTTTTCCTGTCCTGGCTCAGAGAAGCTGAAAGCATGAATTAAGGCATATTCACAGCTGTCCCGATTCACCTACCTGATATAGGGATCCCTCCCAGACCTGTGCTGTGTTGTGGTGGGAGATTCAAGTCCAAGAAATTACTATTTGAGGTGGGATTTGCTGTGTGGTTCAAGTGCATGATGCTATTGCGTGGGAAGGCCATCCAAGGATAGCGAGCTGCTTGGCCTGGAAAACTGAAGGAGTTGTAAACTGCTCGATGCTGTTGAAACTGTGGGAACCTCTGTGGCATGACTGGAAAGGTGCTACTGAGAGAGTTGGCATTTGTGGGTGCAGCAGGATGCAGGAATCCAGAGCCTGGCCCTTTGGCAGTTGTAGTGTGTGGGGTAGGGTTCTGAAGAGATGTGGGCGAGAGGGAAGGTTGGTCTTGGACTGACAGTTCCTTCTCAATCAGGTCTGCTAAGGCTTTGCGGGTGATGTCAAAGGGGTCAAACCCTAAGTCATCCTCTTGCTGTTTGGAGGAACCAAACCCAAAAGCCGCTTGCCAGTCTGTGGAGGAGGATACTGGTATAGTTTCTGTTGGAGAGGAGAGGAACAGGATTTAGAACAAGAATTAGTAAGTATTTATCCATATAAAAATTTCAGCCTCAGTGTATCTGAATCTATGTTGCCAGTTATCTTTCATATGATACTTTATACATTCCCCGAAGACACCTTATCATCAGCTTACAATGCCATTTTCAGATCAAACTGTCATAGAATTCTACTTAAGGTGAAGCAGTAGAGCTGGCAAATAGTATTTTTGCTGCAGAATTGCTCTGTTCCTGAACTACAGAAAAGCCTTGTCAGAAATATTTTCAGTAATAGCACCAAGCAGAAAGAAACCAATAAACACTTGCTTAGAACCTTCTTTACACCCATATTACTTGATAGAAGTGTGACCAAGCGGAGTTTAAATAAGGTTGTTACTCAGTTCAGTAGTTTGTTTTCAGTATTAATGCTGTGCTTCAGCTCTGCTGTGCAAGAAAGGTGGGGAGGAGATGTTCCCTCTGAAAGGGGAAACCTCTGAGCAGTGGTTAAAAAAAGAAAATAAAAAAACCCCACTGTCTACCATTATGAAGAAAAACAAAGCAAATTCTGGAGTAGACACCTTGATAAAACAAAAGGAAATAATGAACTGCATTACAAGATATTGTTAAATATTTTGAGGCAGTGTTGCAAAAAAAAAAAAAAGGGTTATCAGAATTTCCCTGCATTTTCAATTACTACTTCATTTCATTACACAGTTTAAGTTTCTTGTTCAGGATCAGTGAATGCTGGCTCTAGTTTCACAGTATTTTTCCTCAAAACTGTGGTAATGCAAACTGATGAGTACAAGGTAGTATCACTCACAACATTAACTCCCTCTGCTGGTAGGGAACCTGGTCTGCTGCTTTAAGTAGTTAAAATTAAGCTCAGTATCTTCTCTTAGAAAAGGAATCTACACTTCTATTTTCACTCTAAAATCCATGACAATAGATAAAGAGCTGCTAGACAGACAAAAACTTGTCCTTTGTATTCTTATTTAAATAGCAACCATATATTTTATATTAATTACGAAACAAACAAGATCTCTACTACCTGGAAATTGTCTCTCTCTGCTACTTAATCCTCACAAATTTGGTGTGTATAGTACCTTAGCAGCAGGTAATTTCCTTGGTAATAAATATTGTTTGCAAACAGGATTATGACATCCAGAAGTCAGATAAACATCAAAAGACAACTAATCACTAAGTAAACCAAGTGTCCTAAAGTATCATTTACATTCTATTTATTACTGATATTGTTTCATTTAATTTTCTAACAACTCCCCCAGATTTATAATATGTGAGCTCTTAAATACTGTTAACCATGCCCAAGACTAAATAAATACACCTAAAATGATGTTTCAAATCCAGAAGTCAGATAAACATCAAAAGACAACTAATCACTAAGTAAACCAAGTGTCCTAAAGTATCATTTACATTCTATTTATTACTGATATTGTTTCATTTAATTTTCTAACAACTCCCCCAGATTTATAATATGTGAGCTCTTAAATACTGTTAACCATGCCCAAGACTAAATAAATACACCTAAAATGATGTTTCATTCATATGAAGTGGTATTTCACAGGAAAGTACCTGGAACATACAGGTATCTTTCAGTTGATGTAATTAACCATATTTCTATCTTTTCTGAATGTATATAATCTCACTTCAGAAAGAGAAAGATTAGGCACCTTCAGATAACTATGCAGGATACTAAAGAAAATTCTAAATTCCACTGCACAGCTTCTGATGTTAGAATTATAGATTATAACAGATTATTACACCAACATATACTGACACCATGCATTTTCCCCACTCTCAATAAAAACCTGTAACATTAAATATTAAGCATACATGTCACATTCTATTATTTAGACAGGCATATGGCTTAAAAAAATTAAAATAAGCAGTCTGATAATTTAGCCATGCAGCTGGAAAACTCTGTAAAGTTTCTTTTAGAAGAAACCCTTACATCAGTGAAATTCATTTGTAGTTAAGTGACAAATTTTAATCATTCGTGAAGGGGGAAAAAACCCAGTATGGAGCAAGTCCTAGAGTTTTTGGTTCTACACAGTTTTAGTCATCAGTTGCAAAAGCAAGCAATACTCAGCCATGTAACCTGTCTACATACCTGATGTGAAGAGGCTCTGTGGTTCTGGTGCTGTGGGCCAGTCATTTGAAGTCTGTGGAGAGCTGGGGAATGGAGGAAGCCCACTAGGGATGGGGTTAGGGTGCCGAAAGTTGTCAGAGAAGAGCGACTGTGATTCTGTTACAGCCCCTTCAAAAGGAGACCGTGCACTGTGATTAGATGAACTGATGGGTATGACTGGATTGGGTTTTGTTAAACCAGGCGGTGGTGAAGGTGTGTCACTGTTTGTTATCTACAGGCAAGAAAGGAAGAGAAACAATTAGGACATGAGTGTTTATATATAAAATATATTTCACTAATACAGTTGAAAAATTTCCTCAAAACATTGGGCTGCAATTAGGTTAGTTAATATATAGCTCAGTATAAGGTCAAACATAAAAATCGACTTAGCAGTAGCATTTTTTAGTTTTGTTTAAAATTATGATACATTCAGAAAATACTGGCTTCTCCAACTACAAGTCGCACCAAGTCCTCAAATTCAATTCTTACTTTCACAGCATTTATCTTTATGTCTTACCTGCTGGGAGCTGTCACCATTTCCTATACTGAGGGAATCTGAAGGTTTGTCAATGGGGCTGCAAAAGTGGGAGGGGAAAAGAGACAATAAGACACTCAAGTATTTAATGTGAAAATCAACATTTGCTTTCATAGCAGTAGGAAAGCCTTGAAATAAAGACAAAATGAAATTAATCAGGAGGAATTAAGAAGGAAAAAAGTCCACTTATGAGACTTTTTTTAAAATCATAAGCATTCCAATCATTTGCCATATACTGTCACACTTCCTCCCACCACTCTCCACTCTGCTTGTTGACTGCCCTGTTAAGGAACAAAAGGAAAGTTTTAAACATGTTCATAGTAACTCTATGCCATTCAAAAAACCAGAACTTATGTACTGTGGCAGTATTCCGTAGTAGTCAGTTCCATCTATGCTACTACTGCAGAGAAACTTGGGAACATACTTGTTTTCCAAATACCTAAGTTGTCAATTCCCATACAAGTCCTAAATAAATCTGAGGAGAGATAAAAAGATTAAATTAACTATTTAGTCCTGGTGGCAAGTTAAGCTTCCCACCAGCCTTCCAGCTTTAACTAGCAGAAATTAGTTCTAAGGTAAGAAAACTGAGTTTTGAGATGACAGAAGAGGAAAAAAACGCAGGAAGAGACATAGCATAAAAAACCACCAACAAACAGAGAATAAAAGATAAGATTAGTAGAAAACCACCTCAGAAAGCTATTCACTAGGAATTAGCATGACTTGGCTGAAATGGCGTAGGATTCAACATTCTTACAGGCATCTGTGAGTTGCCTTAAGCTAAATACCACGCTAACGACACAGTATTAGTTCAAGTTCAGATTAAAATCTCTGTTTTACAACTTCAAGGTACTTTCATTTTTATCTACCCTTAAGAGAAGATGCACAAGCATCAGGCTGCACAGCCCAAAACACCGGTCCTACAAACAAGGACCAGAAGTAAGAACATGAATTTTAGTTCCATTAAGAGACCAGAATGTGATACAAGTCAAATTACAGGCATGATGTGTTAGCACAGGACAAATATATATATAGTCATTATTTTAATTGGGTGCAGACTTCAGATTCTAGCTACACCTTGTTTTCAAACACTCCTTGCTGCTGCAAAGTTTAAATATTGCATAGAGCCACATATCAAGGTCAAAAATTCATAAGATTGCTTCCTTCCATATTCATTCTCCCCATCCCAGAATAACTGGAGTCGAAACCCAGCAGAATTAATTCTTCTCCATTCTAAAGAAACTGTATAAGGGTAATCCATCAATAAAAACAATTTTTGTGCAAAAGAACACTCAGTCGGTATCTCAGAAAGATAACGGAAGCTGAAGTATTTATAACTATGAAAGAAAAATCAGAGGAATATACTTGCAAACAAGCATTACTCCAGTGAAGATTTACAAATACTTTCTACTCAGTGGTCGAACAGCATGAATAAAAGTTCTTCCATTTGGAACAAACTGCCTTGGGTTAGTAATTTCTGAATACCTATAGCATGAAAGTTTGCTCTTCACTGCACAATCATTCTGATTGTAGAGCTGATATTCCAGCCAAATTCTTTTCCCAAAGCTGCTGACAGAAAGTCACAATGCTGCAGTTTAAAAAGCTATGTGTAAGACAACTTTTAATGACAATCTAAGTGCTGAAAATGTTTATTATACTTGAACCTGCCTAAGGAGCCTTTAATCGTAAGACAGGCTTCCAGCCCTCAGGAATGAACAAGATTAATTATCTATTGGCTACAATATTTTTACAAACATTTAGTACATTCTTTTCAGAAAAGATAAGGAAGCTGCATGTCACTACTGAGATGCAACCATAGGATCTCTAATCACACCTCAATGGGACTGCTATTAAGCCTAACAAGAAGGTACCTCTTTCAACAGCACTCACAATGTTAATGCGTCGGTTCAATATTGATTTAAAGCGAAGATCAGCTACCTAATCGGCAACACCACTTCTTGAAATTAATATTAGGGTTTACCTTGTTATTTTCCCATCCAACCTCTGAATGAGCCCAACCAATATTACTTAAGGGGGTCCATAAAAAACAAAACAGCATGACTACAGATTACCATTGGAACTGCAAGTAATGCTTATGATGGAAGAGGACACCAGTTCTATTCAAGGAGGGCACCAAAAGAGGAAAAAAATGTTGGTTAGCAATAAGGAAGTTATTCCAAGCAGATGAATTACTTCCTCTCCACAAAGAAGCCTCAGTTGAATCTGCTGCCCTGTTGTTCCTGTTACTGAGAGATATCAGGGAACCCTTACCTCTGCAGTTGTGTTTCTGGAACACACCACTGTAAAGACAAGACAGATATTCAGCCCTAACATTTAGCTTACTTCCGTTGAAGCTTTTCCAAGTGACAAGCCTCCTGATATATAGCAACTAGCGCGTTTTGTGGAAGCTTCTGTATAGAAAAGGGCTCAGCTCTGACTGGGACCATGCAGCTATATAAGCTGTTGATCCCCCGGTTATTCAGTTGCCCTCAGCCCTTACCTGTACCATCACTTACTAACTTCACGTTAGGGTTCTCCTGCACAATCTGCCAATCAGTCTTTTTGACATGGGCTAGGCTAAGCCCAGCTTTTCATGACCTGATCAGGATTTGAATCCAGCTCTCCAACCAGAGAGAGAGACTGGAGAATCATTCCCTCCACACCAATCAGTGAGAGAGAAAGCAAGCTATCTGAAGTATAAAAGGCAGCACAATTACCCGAAATCTGAGTCTGCACCATCTGGAGTCAAGTGTTCTGGGTCTGTGCCATTTTCTAATATAGGAGGCGTTTTCCTGTGTTCCATTGTTAAACCGTTGGCTGATTTACTTGAACTCTGTAATGATGGCCAGGCATCTTTGTTATTACTGTTGGGTCTGGAAAAAGGCAAGAGTAAAAAAAAAAAAAAAAAAAAAGAAGAGTTCAAGTTATGAAGAAAGTGTTTTTAAAAATTGTAAGCACTGGGGAAATGAATCCTTGTGCCAGACAATCCATAAGAAGAGATTTATCTGGATATTATATCTCAGATTTTAAATGGTGATGACTTAAAAAAAGAATTAGTGGGGTAGGGAGGGGAGCAGGAAAACTGGGGGGAATTATGTTTTCTTCACTGAATAGATAGCTGCTCTGCCAACGCTGAAGTCCAAACTTGTCCATTTGGGGGAGAGGAAAAAAAAAAACAAAAACCCCAAAAATCCATTGACAGCTTCAAGTACTCAGACCTACACACACCTCATTTAGATTTGCTTTATCCCATAAGTATTTGCAAGTTCTGTAAATCATGAACTAAATCACTTTTTTAAAAAAAATGTTTTATATTCGAGGCTCTATCAAGCCTGGTCCCAACAGATGAAGTTTGTGTTTTACGCCTACTCAAGAGTCCACAGCTTTATTAACAGACCATGACACCAGTCAGATCAACACACTGTTCATTCAAGTTACTGCTCCTTTCATTTCTAGTTCAAAGCCATAATTACTTCCCCTTTTATAAAGTAACATTAAATTTCATTTCAGAGTTTACATTAGATCTGAAAGACGTTCAAGAGAGGACTCAAAGCCCTCTTTTGCTGAAAATAGTTACATTTTATACAAATTGAAGCGAACTGGAATATCATCTATAACTGAATGCATTCAAGTACAGCGTCATCTGCTAACCCTACAATCTTAGTATACAAGATTTGCCTTTGTGTTCTCCAGTTTTTATATTAACTTTAGCTTTTCATTTGCTTCAATTAGATGCTGGTTTTGGTGTCCAAGTGCTGTGTTCATAAGGAACAAGCTTTCAAAAAAAATTTTTTTAAATACATATGTTCCTCCTGATGCCCCCCTTCATTTCTATGTTCTTATTACATGGTCCAACATTTACTCTACATCTCTAGGTCAATTTAGTAAGTTCACAGTCATAATCTGGAAATTCCTATAACTGCTTATAGCAACACAAGTGTTTCCTACTCCTGTTCAGATAAAATTGGTATTACTAGCTACCCTCAAATCTGTTAGTATTGTAAGATTTGCTATTCTACCTCCATCTTTTCTCACATACCTATACAATGTGTACACAGATGAGAGCCTTGACCTGATTTACAGATCTCATCTTTGCTTTGTACACATTTGAAATAAGTTAGAGATAGTGAGTTGATCAGATATTGAACATCAAGGAATGAAGACTTGTCATCATCAGTGTAATGTCAGTTGTTTAATATTCTCACCCTTACAAAAATGAGCTGTAATCTAGATACAAGATGACTTTCAATCCATTAACAGATTTATTTTAAATATCAAAATTTATGTCCGCTGCAGTGCAAAGCCATCTCTATACTAAAACTGACTTTAAAATGTCACAGTTAAAAGTCAGTTTTGCATCCAAGGAGAAAGGTAAAGAGAAAGAAACTGTTCTATGTTTTGGGACATGTGGGTGTTTTTGTTTTGGTTAAGTTCAAAGCTGCATGCTTCTAAAGGTCTAAAAGACCAGAAAGTGCTTAATAAGTGTTTCCACTTGTAGCATAAGAAAACATTCATTTCAGTTCTTTAGGAAAAGCTCAGCAGGAGCAAAAAAAAAAAAAAGGGGGCGGGGGGGGGCGGGGAGAGACCTTCATCTGTTTTAAATGTGGCATATATCTCTAACTGTAAGAGAATGCAGTCACCATGACTATCAAGTGACATACCAAGAGATGAGTACCCACATACACAAAGTGTATGGGGATTTTAACATTTGCCTTCAGCAGCAAGAAAAAAAAAAAAGGTCTGCGAGTAGGACCTTTCAAATTAGAACACAATTGTGAAAAAGCATTTATGCACAGTTAAAGAAACTGTTTTCTACTACTGGATGTTTATAATGAAACATCTACTATTTAGACCTCGACTTCTGTTCAATTCCAGAGTGAAACAGAAATCCTGCACCCCAGAAACACAAGAACAACCACAAAATTGTCAGACGCTCTGACAAACTGCCAGAAATATTAATATTGTATCAATGAATCAGACAAAACCAAGAACCACCCAATTGGGTAGAAAGCTGTGAAGGAGAACAACATGCATTCACCAGCTCACAAGCTACATTTCGTACTGATGAGACAGGACTCGAAGAAACATTTCAAAATCCCAGCTGCAAGAAGAAATTCACTTTGCAACCCAAAAGGTGGTGCCTAGCCATTAGCAAAGAACAGAGTCTGTGTTGTGATGACACTGTTCAGCTGACAACAGAAATTAACTCCAGACCACTTGTTGCCTTTAGAGTAACATGACATTTTTTCCACAAGTGCCAAAATGTTAGCACCACAGACTGACCAAGCTCCAATTCTAATTGCTTTCTGAAGGCTTAAAAGTTTGCTGCAGTTTCAGATAGAGCATTCTTTCCTCGCTGGTATCATGTTTTGCTGGGATCAAATTAGGTTTCAAATTAAGATTAGTTCAGACTGAACATAAAATAATCAATACCCAAATGCAGGAAGTGGTATATTTGCTTTACTCACTGCACTCTACCTTCCAAGTCAATATTGAACCAGTGCCCAAGAAATAAGAAGCGGCACAGTCCTTAAGAGAAGATCCAACTGGAGGTCCTGACCACTTGCAATCAAAGAGCACATGACACTTCCTCCAGAAGTTAAAGAAAATAATGCCAGTACACCAGCTGGGATACCAGTTTCTCAGAATTATATTCTGCTTATTCAAGCTCCATTGGCAATATTTTAGATACAGTACCCACTTTCTTGCTTAAACTGTTGTGCAGTGATGCTGCCAGTGGCAAATTATTCTCTGGAAAATTCAGTAGTGAATAAACTGGCACACAACACAAACCCTGATTACAAGACCAAGGTGCATACGAAGTGCAATCTAACTTTTACATTCCACTCTGCCCATAGAATCGTAGAATCATTGAGGTTGGAAAAGACCTCTAAGATCATCGAGTCCAACCACTGACCCAACACCACCACCCACTAAACCATGTCCCTAAGTGCCTCATCTACTCATCTTTTAAATACCTCCAGGGATGGGGACTCAACCACTTCCCTGGGCAGCCTGTTCCAATGTTTAACCACTCATCTCATTATGAAAATCCTACAAAAAGGAGTGGAGGAGATTAACAGTTTTTATTTATCTTAAATATGACATTTGAGTGGATAATTCACATAAGGACTGATGACCTTAGGCTTTCATTTATCTTTGTATGACTGTGTACTCATACAATCTTTTCATAACTTACTGAACAAACTACTTCAACAGAATATTATTTTAACAAGCAGTAGTGATATCTGCAATTACAACATAGTGAAAAATGTATCATTTAAGTTTACTAGACGAAAGCAAGAAACCTTTTATTCACATCTTGTGAATTCTTACACAAAAGAAACAAACTGATTTTACTTTCAATTTCCAAGGTCCTTACATCTCATGTAAGGACTGCACTATAAATCATGATGTAAAAACCACAATAAAACACATATCAAGACTATAAGGTGTCTCAGTTGTGAGAGTACAGACTGCATTCATCATGACACCATACCAAGAAAGCTGACATCTGGTCTTTAATAAATATGTGTTTATGCAAATTTAAAATACAGGGTCTTCTTTCAGAGTAAGAATACTTCATTCTGAACTAGTGATCCAAATGCACACAGCATAAAAACATTTCTTCACTAAGACAAACTCTCACTTTGTGTTAGAACAAAGTGGTGCATATGTCTCTGCATGGAGAAAACCAGTATCAGAGTTTATCATATAATAGCCGCTAAAAAGAGCGGGCAACTTAGGGGATGCAATAGGAATAAGAAAGTTTTCTTTGGGAATAACCAGAAAGAAAGCACAGCCAGGCAGTCCAGCATCAGTACTTACACATCATACCTCTGCAGTGCTGTCACTTTGTTCTTGTTCTTGTCAACTGTACCCGTAGATAATTGGAGAAAGTTGGGGTTTAGTTTGTATAATTCTTGCAGTAGTTTCTGTTCATATTCCTGGTGCTTACCCGCCTAAGGAAAGAGAAACTCACAATGAATGAATACTGGTTTAATATATATTTTTATAGCTATAAAAAAAATATTTTTTATATATAAAGGTACATATGTACATCCCAAAGCTTAGTAACTGAGCTTTAACAACTTAACAGGTCACTCCTGACTGAAACTCAAAACAGTGCTTCTCAATCTCAGCACAGACATGATCTCAACAAATCTAAAGCTTGCTAGAAATCACTTGGATGTATTTATCAATTTATAATTTTTTTTGAGACTTCTAAAGCAAAAAAATAGTTACAACCATAGTTACAACCTTATTAGAACTTGCTCTTTAGTTCTAATCAAGAGCTTCACAGTATACCTTCTAAATAACTTCTAAATCTCCAAGGCAGTCTGCATTTGATATATCAACCATACTAAGCTTTTCAGGAGATGGGAAGGAACAAAGAGTCTCTCTTTTAAACCAAAAGTTCCAAAATGGAAGTCATTTTATATCAGCTTAATGAAAACAGCTGAGGTGGTCTGAGTGTTAACTATCATGTAAACAAGGACTATATTCTGAGCAATAACTGATAAATCATTCTTTTCAATAACTGAAAAATTGAAATATTCTTTTAACTAATTGAATTAATTAGCTGAGAACAATTTCTTGCTTTCAGAAATTGAGGAGGCCCAATCCAACTCCAGAATATTGAATCCGGTGAGTGAAGGAAGAGAGTATTTTTCAGTCTAGCTTATCTATAACATTCTGTGGCTAAATAGTCAAAACAAAACCAGCAAGATCCACCCCCCGCCCCCCAACATTTAAAGTGACATCTGAAACAAATTCAAGATGAGCATTCACATTTTTTGTAGGCTGTTATACCACTCCAACCTAAGAATTACTACTTGCAAGTTAAGTATTGCAATGAGTTGAATCAAGGTGCAAAATAGAACAGTGAATTTGAAGCTGTCAATAGCTTTATCTAGAGTTTCCAGGTATTAAGAGATGTCCTTTAGAAAATGAAGCAAGTGCCAAGACTTATGGTCAGGTCTTCTGAATCTTAATTCTGGAACACGTTATTCTCTATCACATCTTCAGTATTGCTTTAAAAGCTCTCACATTACTTGTACACCTAAAAATTAACATTTGTACATTACTTAATTCATTCCCTTCATAAGTGTTTTGGTGGAACAGGAATGGAATTGATGCACAGGCATTGTAGACACCCTCCTAGAAAAATATTACAACCTAAAAGAAAACTATTACTTGCTTTTTTAAAAAAAAATTAAGCAGGAATATTTGACAAAATTCAAAAAACATAGTACTGCTGATAAACTAAATTCCCTTATGGGCTCCTTTAGAAGGGCAACTGCATATCCCATTTGAGTACTCCAGGTCAGTCAAACACTGTAAATATCTCCAGTTTTTTGCTACTTAATTCTCCAGTTCTCCATTACTGGTTGATTCTGAACGTGTCTTTCTCTATGTAGTCAACCTACACAACCCTCAAAAAAGGACACTGAAACATCTGGTGTATGCATCATCTTACCCAACTTTGTCACAGTGTCTACACCCAAGCTACTACCTACAGGAGAAAAAAGTATGGTTCTAGAGTGTGGTTCACCTAAATGCAAACTTTGAGGTATACTGCACCCTGGAAATGCTTCTTTTGCCATCAGCTATGAATAGAATATAAGCAACTAGCTCAGATGCGCAGATCTGCACTCCAAACATTAAGCAGCTGAGTAAGAAGAAACGTCCCTGGATCTCTCATCTTGCTTAAGACTTCAGTGGCAAAAGACTGAACGTCATGGCCAGGAACATCAGGCCAGTCCTAAGCTCACTTACCTGTCACATAAATGTAATAAAGAAACAAGATTAAAATCCTATATAGGAGCTTACAGTAATCAGGCTTTATTTATAACAAGCAATCCAGAGGCCAAACTTAGCATCTCCAACCTACCTTACCTAAATTCCCAGCTTCACTTTCAGAGACTTCCTGGAGTTCTACCAGTTCTTTTCAGTTTGTCACAATGTTTAGCTCTATTAACAATTATTGAACTTAGAATGTAAGTTCATCCATTGACAATTTTATTTTTTTTAAATAGTGACAATGAACATTCAATCTCATTAAATGGACCTGTAAATACACTGACACTAACCTAAACTCCAGAAAGCTGGTGCACTGAAAGCACAATGCACTTTTTAGTAGTTGTGTAATTTCCAATGATTTCCAAGAAAGTAATATGAAATCAAGAAGAAAGTTTAAGGAATGTAACAAGGAACAGGAAAGGAAGATTCATTTAAGTCACCAAGATCGAGTATAATCCACTCAAGACTTCTGAAGGAACTCATACGTGAAATTGAATTCCTGGCCAAGGTATATAGCCTATCAATTTTAACTGGCAGTTAGGCCAGAGGACTGACAGATTACCATTGCCTTCTACAAAAAGGGCTGTAGAAAAGATCCTGTGAACTACAGACTGCTAAGTTCAACTTCCATTCTTCCTAAGATCATAGCCTATCTTAAAAAAAAAAAAAAGATAGAAGTTCATGGATAAACACAACCTGAATGAATCTGAGCATCTTCTGTAAAGGGGAAATCCTACTTCACTGACATGATGGAATTTTATGATAGTGTCAATAAGTATAAATAAAGAAGATCCACAAAATCTTCAAAAAAGCCTTTGATAAAGTTTCACAGCAGAAGTTATTTACAAAGCTGCCCTGGGATAGAGGAAAGGTTCTTGTGTGGATTGAAGCTGGTTCAAAGAAAGGCAAAGGTAAGACTTACTGGTCACTTGTCTAGGGTGCAAAAACAAGCGATGAGGACTGATGACTGGCATCAGCTTTATGCAACACCATCAGCATGCATGACAAAGGAGTGAAGAGCAAGTTCTTTGCTGACAATACCAAACTCTTTGGGTAGTAGGCTGCCATGCTGATAACTAGGAACTCCAAAGAACCCCAGAGAACTCAGCAAACAGGCAAAAAGGTGGCAAATAAGCTTCACCAGAGACATGTCAGGTAACACACCAAGGGAAAAGTAGCCTAAACCATACTAACACTCTATTATCTGTGAACTGGCTGTTGCAGCTCAGAGAAGAGAGACCGAGATTACTGCCAATAGATCTCTGAAATTGTTAGTTGATTATGCACTGGCAACCAAACACAAAAAACGTGCTGGGCATCATTAGGAAGGGCACTCTAAAAAAAACACACAACCAAAAAAACCCCCCACACCACACTACAAACAAAACATTGAGGACTCCTATATTAAACTTTGCTTCCCCTACATGATGAGTATGATGCGTCTCAAGGACACAGTTAAAAGGTACAGAGAAGGGCAACAGAAATTATCACAGAAAGGGAGGAACTGCTTTACAAAGAAGTTTAAAAGCCCAGAAACCATGTGATTTGGAGAGAAGGCCGAGGGAGATAAGATCAAATTTTACACCACCACAAAGGCAATGGATATGGTGAATAAGGGTTTTGCTTTCAGCAAGTACTACAACACTAAGATTAGGGGACGCTTGACAAAACTAACTGGAGATCAGTTTAACCCAGGCAAAAGAAAGCACTTTAGAAAACAGCTGGTGAACTTCTGGACTTGCTGCAACAAAAGACTACAGGGTTGACAGTATCAACAGGTTCAAAATGGATCAAATTCACGGCTGACAGCTTAATAAAAAACCTAAAAAGCCTAAACAGGAACACACCCTCAAACATGTATATTATAACAGATCTAGGTGGTGGAAGAAATACCGAGAAATGAACAGGGAAGGCGGCCTGGTTTACAAGTTCTCCTTGAACTTTACCTCCTATCGCCATCATCTGCAACAAAATATATACTACAGGGACTATTCATCTGAACCAGCAGGATATTTTTTTAATTTATGAAAATGTAGCTGAAATCCTCAGAATGAACTGCTAGTTTGTAGGAAAAATGTTTAATAGATATGGACATTCTTCCTTATTCTTGGCTTAAGTCAGCCTAACACATGAAATAAAATCTACTTGTACAACATTTGTGCTAGCACTAGAGGTGGGGACCACCTGCTTCATGGACAGACCACATGCAAAAATTACAGCATGGATGCAAGGCTGGCATACTTGAGATTGAGTTTAAAAGCTTTACCAGACCTCATGTAGAGGGACAGACCCAGACCCAAAAGACCTCAGAATGCACCACCTTTGAGAAAGTAAAGCTATCCATTTACTTGCTTCCCTACCCTAGATAATAAGCATTTTGATGTTGAGACAGTAAAAACAGTCCCTACATCAGTATTTATGCTCTATTACAGTTACCCTCAGTGTTTTATTTCCAAAAGGTTTCTATACCCTTCACAGGCTAAAAGGAACATCAGAAATCAGATAGCATGGCCAAATCACAGTACAATAGTTAAGCCATGATAACTAGCCACACACACAAAATGTACAGGAAAACCCAGATCTGCACTAACTTCATTCACAGAGATTTAAAATAACATATGTTACCTTGCACTGGTATGAACAAAGGGCAAGTAGCTAACTCAAGGTTATCTGAATTCTTGGCTAAAAGTTTATCTCCCTCTTTTTGACTCATGAACACTCAGGGGACTTTTCAACCTTTAAAGCAGCATGCAATGAAAAAATTTAACTAACTGTTCACTTCTAATATCCAACTGGTTAATCACCTTTTGGATTTCAAAATTCAACTCTGCCATAACATTCAGCAAAAGGCTACATTATACACATATTAGACTAAATTATATACAATAAAATACATAAATGCCACATTTCATGTGTTTCCCATTCATTACACTTACCTGCATTTCCTCTTTTGTGAAACTGGCTGCTTCATCTCCCAGCTCATGTAGATACATGCAGTCTGGTTTTGGACACTGCATATTTTTTAGAAAATAACTGCAATATTTTTTTTTACCTAATGATGCCTGAAGAAAAAAAAAATCATTACTTAAGTATTGGAGGTTAAGAATGCCTTTTACAGTATAAGAAAAAAAAAGCTGTATTTGCAAAAAAAATTCCTTCCCAAGATTTGGAGTTCCATCATAATACATTTTTTGATGCACATGGACTAGGAAGTGCATTTATAAGAAATCTATATACTTGAGGATTAGATAATTAGGGTGTATTTCTATTTTCATCCAATCTAAATAAACACCAAAATAAGAGCCTCAGTAAATATTTGCATTCATAATCATAAGAAGCCAAATAAGTAGTTATGAGTTTGTATTTCATGAAACTGGTTAATGTTTTGTAGCACGGTCAGGAAATGAATATTAACTAGCTGATTTTCTATAGCCACCAATTTGGCCAAGTCAGCCTGAATACCTGTTTACACAGATACCAAAAGGAAAATACTTGTATTTCCCAGGGAGCTTTTGAGAGGTGTGATGTTTGGACTACAGAAATGCTCTGTAAAAGCAAATAATCAGGTTTTCACACTATGCTACTAAGCTATATAACAAAAAAGCCACTGTGGGAAGGGGGAGGTGGTGCATCTCTTTCTTTGTCTTAAACTTGTTTTAAGAAGTTACCTGTTAACCCCCTAAAACATTGCCTGCTGGAAGCACACTGAACTTCCATGTTGTGATTAATGCTAGGAAAATAGGTCAAAACCCAATAAACTGGACGTTTTTGTTCATCAACACAAGCATATCCATACAAAGTTTTATGCTATGCACTGATATTAGTGTCCTAGCACATATACGTAAGAATGTAAAAATATTACCACCTTAAGCGTTCTGCCGTCTACCACCACGTTATTGACGCATTGTATGGCTCTGAGAGCATCTTCTGACCGGATGTAGGTGACATATGCACTGGCACTTGGACCCTAGAAAGAAAACATACCTTTTTTTTTTTCCTCCCCCCAGACAGATCTGAACATTAAGTTGCTTTTTAGCAGCTCACTTCATAAACTGGTATATTCACGGCTAGATGTTTTTAACAGGAAAACTGACAAAAATCGGAGAATTCATAAAAATTTAGATGTGATGCATAAAGAATGGGGAAAAGAAGAAATGCATCAAAATGTTGCTTGAAAGTCCTAAAAATACTTTTAAGTATTTTATCCCTGAAATACAGATTAGTGAATAAATGCCACATTGCTGCTTCTTTGAAGGTTCTCATCCTGCCTCCCAGTTTTTAATCTTTGTACATTGCATCTTGCATCCAACTTTGACAGTCCAGTTGGACAATGTCTTAGTAACTTAACAGTAATTTGATTTTTGCAATGCTATATTATTTTTTTTCTTTTTATGACTTTAACCTATTGCTTAATCAGAAATAGGGAGCCCCAGATTCACTCCGCACACATGGATTTTCTCTAAAGGAATTAAAAAAAAAAATCACAAGGGCAGCTGACTTACCTGTGAGCCTGCATATGATGTGCTGTTATTAATGACAACTTTATGTATTTTACCAAACTTCCCAAAATATTCTGGTCGTTTCAAAACCTACAAGAAAAGAAAGTTAAAGTGGTATACTGGAAAGTTAATTCATACAGGGCTGTACTTATTCTTCTGTGTAACTGTGCAACTAAAGCCTTTAACTAATAAAAGACAGGTCTCTTCTACAAAGAGGAGGAGAGCATGTAGATGTAGATTTGTTTTCCAACATAAAACATGGTTACTTGCAATACAGAGTACATTGCCACTGCAGTAAAGAACTTAAATGAGGGGTATTCCACATTTTGTATTGTATTTTTAAAATTTCTTTCAGTACTCAGATACCCAAACCCTACCCTGGCAAGATACACCCCATGCAGCATGAAATATTCCTGTATGTATCTATTTTATAATTTGAGGAAAAAGTAGAAGTCACATTCATTCCAGTTTTAAAATAACCACCTTAAACTTGCATTCAGATATATTAACTGCTAGGAACAAAACGCTGAATCCCGACTCACTTGCCCCCCAAGAAAGAATGTAAAGCAATTAGCTCAAGATAGCCTCAAGTTTTCAGAAGACTAGACTAAGTACAGGAAGACAATATATGACACTTCCCAGGGGCAAGAAAAAATGTTTCAGAATCAATATCATGCTGAAATGAATAAGTGAACATCCCATCCCTGAAGGAAAAAAACCAAAGACAAAACACTCCTGTCTTGCCCTTCCCTCCACCAGTTAGTAATAACACACCATTTAGGGATCCTGCGCAAAGCAGGAACATCTCTAGCATATTAAGCAACTCTGTTGAATAAGTTACCTGTGTGCCAATGGAATTGGCAATATATCTGACACATTTGGTACCAAAAGCCTTTCTTTTTCTATCCCCGTGATGGAAGGAGGTGTAGAAGTACTGACTACTCAGACTGAAGCTAGATAAGCTAAGAGTATTTCTAGTTCTAGACAATAACCTGAGAGGTTAAAAAGGAAGATCTGTTTCCACAGCTCCATATACCTTATCCTGTAGTACATTCCCTCCATATTCTAATTCAAGGTACTTTTACTCATCCAAGAACTTCTTTACCTAACCACCTCCTCTCCCTTCTCAAGGGAGCATCAATGTCTTCAAGATCTAACAGCATTAATCACATTTGGAACATCCTGTAGAACTACAGGGCACATTGTATAGACAACCAGTCACCCACTGGTGTCTTCTGACTGCTCTTCACTTGATCTACACCCTCTTGAAAGATTCTACACCCACCTTCGGGCATCATTCCAGAGGACACTGACAATCCTGAGTAAAGCAGAAAGGTTTCTTCAAGTATCTTGCAGATTATACTCCTGATAAGATATGGCACCATGGCCTTCACAATTTTCACAAGAGCATGTCAACAGAAGTGGATCCACCTGTACTCCATTATGATCCACAGATCTATTTCCAGAAACAGCAAATAGCAGCCAATCTCCCCTTTCAAGTCATCTTTATTTGTGCAGGATGTTTTTGCCTGCTTAAGTGGATAACTTAAATTAACTATACTGAATACTTTTTTTTTTAGCCCATCTCTCTCTTTCAGGCTAGGTTTCTCGGAAATCAAGTCATCTTGGTGCTATATGCAATATTCAGTAAGTACACATTATCTTCTGGTATGTCAGTAAGAATACTGCTACCACCAAACCTAGTACAACATGCACCGCACCGCCCCCCTCCCCCCCCCCAGTAAACCCACTTCTAATTACTTCAAGTATTCAGTGTGGAATTATCTGAGGTTAAAAAATATTAACTGTATACACTATTATTTCTCTTACTCACAAATCCTCTATCTGGTCAAAGAAGCCTAATACATTTTTCTGTAATAAATAGCACCAAGCCAGTGCTGACAGTTGCTTGCAAATACTTGTTGCTATATTCTTGTAGAAACTGAAGTGTTACATGCCAGATCAGTTTAACTTTGATTTTTCTCTTCCCTTCATATCCCCCCCTTTTTTCTTCTCCACTAG